AGATTAATAAAATAGGGTTAGAGGAGAAGGGTGAATTATTCAACTTCTTCTTCTCTTACCTCTTCTCTTCGACATACACAGCTCTTGCACTATTGTTCAGATCTGATTTGCACTGTTAATTACTGATTTTAAATTTGATATTAGAAGACTAATTCACATCTTATTGCACCAACCAGCTCAGTGGAAGCCATTTATCATGATGAATGACCATATCCATTCACACCTCATCCCTCTCCATTTCCTCTTTGACCAATGCTTTACTCATGCCAAAACGAACTCCACCAAGTCTGGTTACTGATACTCTTTACCCTCCTCCATAATGGGATTTCTTTGAGGCCCATCTTTGCTCTAGACTACAATACAATTGAATTTCCATTATGGATCAAAACGAATCACCAACCACTAAACAAAAAGCCCATAGATGTATAATCCAGCAATGCAGACTATGATAACATCATCAAGAAGCCCAAAGTTTTACATAGTTTCTATGTATGCCTTCAGGTTAGGTGGGATCTAGTGACAAGACCCAAAAGTGAAGGGGGTCTGGGGCTGGGAAACATCCAGAAGAAGAATGTAGCTCTTTTAGGGAAATGGTTATGGAGGTGGTCTAAAGAAAGGGAGAACCTGTGGGCCAAAATAATCCTAAGTATTCATGGGCAAGAGGCAACTGGCTGGGATCCGGGAATCTCATCTAGGGCTTCAAGAGCTTCTCCATGGAAGTCGATCCACGCCATCCTTCAATCTTTTCTTCCCTTCATCAGGTATGATCTTGGCTCTGGCGTGTCAGTTAATTTTTGAGAACACATTTGGGTGGGAGATTCCCCCTTGAAAGAGCAGTTTCCCTCTTTGTTTGCTCTGTCTAGGTTTAAAAGTGAACCTGTAGCCACCGTTGCTACCGTGTCTAACTCTGCTATAGGTTGGAACCTAGGTTTTAGAAGGGCACTTAGAGATACTGAATTAGAACCCATTTTAAATTTGCTTAAGATCTTGGATGAGGTAGTCCTTGAGCCTTCAATTGGGGACTCTAGGGTATGGTCTCTTGTCCCTTCGGGTATCTTTTCTTGCTCCTCCTTTTTCAAAGCACTGACACAACCTAGTCCGGTTCCGGGGTTTTCTTTTCCAGTCCGGGAAATCTGGGGTAATCCAATCCCTCCTAGGGTAGGCGCTTTTTGTTGGGAAGCATGCCTAGAAAAGTGTAACACTTGTGACCCACTTCAAAAGAAAATGCCTAATTGGTGTTTATCCCCACACTGGTGCATCTTATGTAAGAAGAATGGTGAAAGCTGTTATCACTTGTTTGTTTCTTGCCCTTTTGTTTCAGATATCTAGTGTTGGTTTTTTTCTCTATTTGGTTGCAGGTGGACCTCCCCTTCTAATGTGCAAAGCTTGTTTAGCTCCACAACAGTGAGGGGATTAAAAAAGAGAGGGAAAATATTGTGG